TAACATATTATGGAATTTCCCCCTAATAATGGCAATCAAGTCTCCGTCCCTGACTTTCGCTTGGCTGATTTCATAGGACTGAAAAATTACTTGGGTGGGCTGAACTGGAAGACCTGACTAAGGGTCAGGTAGGTGGTGATGGTTGCCTATATGATGCTTTCAGGGCATAGTTCTAGCTGCTCAGTCAAATTATGTTCCAAATAGGGAAATCAGATCAAACAAAAATGATCCTAAATGGATGAACAATAGATTTAAAATATCTGATTGGTCAAAAGAGAGGCATATATAGGCAAATCAAAAGAGGAGAGGGGCAATTAAGAAATCGATATATTCATTTAAAAGAGAGAATAAAAAAGGGAATTAGAAAAGAAAAAAGAGATTATGAGGTTAAAGTTGCAAGAGAATCAAAGGGACTAACCCAAAAGGATTCTTTCAGGTATACAGAAGTAAGATCAGGGAAAAGATAGGCCACTCAAAAGTTCCGGGTCAGCTCACTGACAGTGAAAAAGGAAATGTGTAGAATTTTTAAACCCACTTACTTCCTCTCAGTTTTTACACAGGGGGATACCAGTGATTTCCAGTAATGATAAATTGTAGAACGGACGTTAATAAACTGTGCACTATTAGGGTCACAAGTGACATGGTCCTTAGGCAAATAGATAAATTAAAACCTAACAAATCCCCAGGCCCTGATGAACTGTATGCAAGGGTTCTAAGGAATGTAAAGAGGAGCTTAGCACACCTTTGGCTAATCTTTTCAACATATCACTACAAACTGGCATGGTGCCAGATAAGTGGAAAATGGCAAATGTGATACCTATTTTCAAAACAGGTGACAGGTCCTTAGCTTCGAAAATATAGACCAATAAGCCTAACCTCCATAGTGGAAAATTTATGAATCAATAATTGCCGAGGCAGTTCGTAGCCACCTTGAAAAAACATAAATTAATCAAGAATCTCAGCATGGTTTTACAAAGGGGCGTTCCTGCCTTAAAGAATTTATTAACTTTTTTCACTAAGGTATTTGAGGAGGTAGATCATGGTAATGAATATGATATTGTGTATATGGACTTCAGTAAGGCTTTTTTACAGGGTCCCACATCAGAGGGCTATTGAGGAAAATTAAAGCACATGGAATAGGAGGAGAAAAATTTTTTTCCCGGATAGAGGCATGGTTGACAAATAGGCAGCAGAGAGTTTGCATTAAATGGGGAGAAATCAGAGTGGGGAAGCGTCACGAGCGGTGTTCCACAGGGGTCAGTGTTGGGCCCCCTGCTGTTCACAAAACTACATAAACGACTAGATGAGGGCATAAAGAGCGACATCGGCAAGTTTGCCGATGACACCAAAATTTGGCCGTCGAATTCATTCTGACGAGGACATTCGAGCACTCCAGGAAGATTTTAATAGACTGATGCAGTGGTCGGAGAAGTGGCAGATGCAGTTTAATATAGACAAATGCAAAGTTCTAAATGTTGGACAGGACAATAACCATGCCACATATAAACTAAATAATGTAGATCTTAATATTACGGATTTCGAAAAAGATTTAGGAGTTCTGGTTAGCAGTAATCTGAAACCAAAACAACAGTGCATAAGTGTTCGCAATAAAGCTAATAGAATCTTGGCTTCATATCAAGAAGCATAAATAATAGGAGTCCTCAGGTTGTTCTTCAACTCTATACATCCTTGGTTAGGCCTCATTTAGATTATGCTCCCACAGTTTTGGTCACCGTATTACAGAATGGATATAAATTCTCTGGAAAATGTACAAAGGAGGATGACAAAGATGATCCCATGTATCAGAAACCTTCCCTATGAGGATAGACTAAGGGCCCTGAAACTGCACTCTCTAGAAAGACGTAGAATTAGGGGGGATATGATTGAGGTGTATAAGTGGAAGACAGGAATAAATAAAGGGATGTAAATAGTGTGCTAAAAATATCTAGCCTAGACAGGACTCGCAGCAATGGTTTTAAGTTGGAAAAATTCAGATTCAGGAAGGATATAGGAAAGTACTGGTTTGGTAATAGAGTTGTGGATGAGTGGAACAAACTCCCAAGTACCGTTATAGAGGCCAGAACGTTGTGTAGCTTTAAAAATAGGTTGGATAAATACATGAGTAGATGTGGGTGGGTGTGAGTTAGACCTGATAGCTTGTGCTAACAGGTCGGTTGCCGTGTTCCTCCCTTAAGTCAATGTGACCTGACCTGACTAGGTTGGGTGCATTGGCTTAAGCCGGTAGGAGACTTGGACCTGCCTCGCATGGGCCAGTAGGCCTTCTGCAGTGTTCCTTCGTTCTTATGTTCTTATGTTCTTACAACGTGTCTCATCACTACAACCGGCGCACAATTAAACATCAGTTAGATCAGTCCTCCAGCACGTGGAAGTCCACATATAATACAATACACAAACTAATAATATAAATATTGAAAGGGTTGCAACAGAATTGGTAGCAGATCTGAGAAATATGCTGTGGTAAGAGACAGTTTGAACCTGGAGCTCTCGATGCTGGAAAGCAGGAAGAGAGGAGACATAATCACGACATACAAAATATTTAAGAAAACTAGAGAAGGTAGACAAATTGTTTAGCATGAGAATTAACAAAGGGACACAGTTGAAAGTTATATATGCATATGACACTCGGGGATGTTAGGAATCATTCTTACAGCGTCATCATAATAGATGAAACTGTGTGGAAACCCACGATTCGAAACTTCGAAACAAGACAGAATAGCATCACGTACTTTATACAGTGTTAAGAGTCAGCTCCAAGATCTGTAGGTGAGAAACCAACAAATTCAAATAGGTAATTACTCACGCTTGCGCGTGCGCATAGGTAAACAGATGGGGTACCGTTGTCTGGCCCAGCTCTACGCCAGCACCACCAGCTGTTGCTGCTGCTTCTGTTATTTCTTCTGTTGTGTTGCGGCCGCCGCCGCTGCGTCTGTTGTTACTTTTGTGACTATCCTCTCTTTTGGTGGCAGCAGTGTTAGCTTAATGCTTCTAGTTTCTCTTCATGATTCAGATCCGTAATCTGAGGAACCTGCTTGGTAGCAAATATCTTGGCCTCAGCCTTTCTTTTATGTTTGAGGAGATTTAGAATCCATGTTGGTGCTACATAATTCAGTGTTACCCTGGGTGGAATGACCTTTGTGACTACCTGTTTGTACTTCCAGGAACAGAACAGTGCTTATGGCCTTCCTCTTGTTGATTCCAGGGGTCATCACCCTTGCGACCCGGTCCCAGATCAGGCTTCCTATTATTATTATTATTATTATGCGTTTGCATTTGATCGTTTTCCAAAAAGATGTTACACATAACAATCTACTAGCACCAAAGTACCCATTTACTGCTAGGTGAACACGAACAACAGGTGTGTGCAGTCCCACGTGTGTGTTTATGCGTACGGTAAATACGCATATATGTATAAGTACGTGGAGTCCTGCTGCGACATACTGTACACCATCTGGACTACGACTCATGTTTGTGTTCGGGGGAGGACTAGAGCAGAGAGACACCCGTCCAGTGCACCTTCCACTTGTCACTGTGCTTCCCTACATGTGATACACGAGGCTTGTCTCTTGCAGGTTGTAGACGCTGCCTCTATTCTTGGTGCTAGAACACACTCCCACGTGTTCTTTCCACTTTAGAGGCTTCGACCACCACAAGATATCACTAGCACTGGTCTTCGGGTGATTTATATATTGTACATATTTTATCGTTAGGGGTAGAGGCTCAGGAACTACCTCCTCAACATTTAATGGACGCTAGAGGCAAAAACTATCCACGACGTGCTCATGTGAATCACATGGTATTTATAGCGTTGCTAACAGTGATCTTGTTAGTTTGTTCCGATATGTTGCTCCAGGACTCGTGAAACATTTCCTTCAACACAAATTCTGGGGTCCGTGACGCTGAAATAGTGTGAAAAGTGACTGAGAAATACGACATCAGATCATACCTTCCTTGTCCATGATTAGTGAGTTGTTGACAGCGTTGATGTTTTGTTAAAGCTGAATATTTTATTGCAGTGTCGCGAAGTTTCTTACTTGGATATTGCCAATATTACGTATAGTACATCATGAACCAATTGACAACCGACACAATAAATGAAATTTTAGTGTAATTGACAAGTATATTGTTGATACTGACGTGATAGTGGTAGCTGAGAGAGAGAGAGAATGAATGCTCCTCACTTCACCTACTGTATATACTTATCACCGGTTTCTAGAATTCTTTTACCCTAGTTAAAGACTTGCCCAAACAGATTGTTGCTACTGGTGGCTGGCAAGACTACATAGTCTGACTGATCAAGAGACAATTTTATGTAGCAGAAAACACGGGTTAGCTTGCGGTCGCAGCTGCCCTGTTCCACCCTAGGGACATGGGTGTGCACACTTGTGCTGCGTCTATGCAGTGGGACCTGCACCACTGACGGGTCATCTCATGACAAAGACTTGTGCCAGGTAATTCTTCTCTGATGAATAAACCAACAGCAACTTATTGAAGCGGATGTTACAGTAGCCAGGGAGAAAAATCACACCCATCTCCAAGTAGGAGGAATATTGCCCTTTTGTGTGCTTCTGTTATCTCGGGGCTTTAAAAAGAAGATGAGACCTGCGACAGCACTGCAAACCAAGTGTATAAGTGTACAGTGTAATTTACTGACTGTGTATTATTCTGGTGCTGATTGGTATAATGTTTGTGTACCATACTCTAACGTACCTGCTTACTCAACCAGTTATTTTTTTAAGATGTACATAGAGGATGGAGGAGTTTAACATCATACAATCTATTGAGAACCTAGAAATATCTTGTTTACATTAAGTAACATGCAGAAGAGACAGGAAAACTAGGTTTTCTGTCAGTCTTATGGGTCATTTTACTGATTTTACGCGTCAGATAAGTTTATGCAAAATTTGTGGTGGATGTGGTTGGTTTGTAGATGACTAGGAAGAAAGTAACATTACAGCATGTGTGAGCGCGTCAGGCATCTCTGATGAATTGTGGTCATGGGTATCTCCTCCAGCACCCACCTCGACAGCCCCAGGGACACTGACTTGTGTGGCCGCCGCCGGGAACAACAACCAGAGCAGCATTTAGCCGCAATCAGCAACGACAATGGAGCCAGAGGACGTAGCCATTATAATGGTCGTCGCAATAGTGAAAGTATAAATGACGATAACAGTTCGACAAGCGATAGAGACTCCAGCAGACGTAGCAGCAGTAGTGATTCTGACGGATGGTGCTCACAGTGCACTTGTAGTGAATGTGGAACTCCACCCACCTCACACCCTCTCCTTATACCCAGCCCAATCCTTACGGTACCCGTGAAAAGAGAGAGTTGTACACCACCTGGAGAACCAGAGGTCAGCTTTGTTCAGGATGACAAACAACACACAGCAAGGCATGAGGCACCTCACCTCTCCCCTCAGGCCGTCACACGAGACCGGCAGCAATATCCTACCATGGAGAGTGTCTTTGAAGGCACCTGGGACCACAGACACTATCGACCTCAAACTCTCCCTGCATCAGTATGTCGGGCGAAGGAATCTTCCCTGTACACAGGAGACGCCAGTAGTGTAGAGCCTGACGGGGCGGTGGCGAGTGGGCTTTACAGGGCCATCATGGGGCAGTACCCTGATCACAACATCAGTAGTGATCGCAAGAGAAACTTAACCAGGTGGCAGGATCTGCACACCCGCCACCCAGCACAAATCTATACCCATATACATCCCAGCCATCACATCCAGTCAGGGTATTGTACGCAAGGACATGCAGGACGTCAAGACACCAACAAGAACAAACATGGCGATGGACAACACTCACGCCAGGACACCTATGAGGACAAGCACATAGACCACACCACCTACGCTTGCAGCCGTGGTGATGGACAACACACTCGCCCCCGCGGATCATTGCTCCACGCAGGTAGAAATGGATGGATGATCAATCTTGTCTGCTAGTTTTGAAGGTCAGAAGTGTAATGGTAATTAAATAAGCAACACGCGTATTTTTGCCGCTTCTGTGACAAATGTTCGGGGTATATTCCTGACAATCATCACTCATGTACACGAACAGAGGGAAAAAGATTTCCATGTCAGTGGGTGGAAGACTAAATCTTTCCCTCGTACATCGCTGTTCAAAATAGTCGTTATTAGTTGGTTCAAAATAGTGTATGTGTAAAATATAGCGTCAGGCAGTACAGACAGTTACAAGGGAGCAAGCTTTTATTTAACAACGTTTCGCTCATAGACTAACCAAATAAAGATTGTCTTAAAGAACAAAAAGGCACAATACCGTGACTGGAAGAATACACAAATAACCCACACATAGGAGAGGAAGAGCTTACGACCGAAACGTCGTCGCAAGTTCCTCCTCTCTGCTATGTGCGGGTTATTAGTGTAAAGGTTTTTCTTACCATCTTATCCGTCGGTATCTTTTTGCCATTCAAACTTACCTGGCTGTGGTAATGATATTGACGAAATTGGTGGCGGTGAGCAGCTTAGGAAAAACTTTATGAATAACTATTGAAAGTTATAATGAGGCTGTTTACCTTTGATACACCTCTGATGAGTTTCGAGTGTCTTACTACTCTCGGAGCCCGGCCATGGGACAGGCTCGTCTGGCTTGCTAATATGTTGTATATAGTTTTGTGATGACGCAAACATAGGAGCGATAAGTTGACTGAAGGCTATGGGATGAACTCAGGAGATTAATGATGTACATTGGCTGGAGAAACAAATGAGTAATGGTAGTTGGGTATAAATAGCGGCAGCCTTGCATGGGTCGACACTTGCAGTCCTCTATTAGGATGAGCTGGGCAAGCTGACTAGTGTTTTAGTTAAAACTATAAACAGGATGTCTTAGCCACACCGACAATCTAAGTGACACCGACAGATTGAATGTCACCAAATGACGCTAACCTCTCCCTTCCATTTTATCTCTTCCTTCACTCCCTTTCCCTGTCTCCTTCACTTCAATTCCTCTCCTTCCCTTCTTTGCTCCTTTATCCATCCCATCTCTTTTTCCTTTCTATTTTTCTTCTTCCCATCTCTTCCTCTTCGCATCCCCTCTCCCTTTTACCTTTTCCTATGTACGTTTCTTGAAGTATTCAGTAAGGTATGATTCGAGGAAGGGGATGGTAACTTCAAGGTCAAAAGCTCTTCAGACTATGATCCTGAAGCTACCATCCCCTTTTTGGGATCATACCTTATTGATTCCTATTTCCCAGGCGCTGTACGACGCCTGAGAGTTTATTAGCTCTTTCCTATAAAGATAATCCTATAATTTATCGAGACAAATATGTTTAGTGTGGAGAGGCAGCAAGCAGTGTGGAACACTTTAGGGTGGCTCATCAACTAATTAACAGTGTTAGACTTGCTGCTCTCTCGTCTTGTTTCCTTTCAATATAGGTTTGATCTAAAGAGATGGTTAGCTCTGGTTCTTTGAATTAAGAGTTCTTCACCAGCATTAGAGGTCCCACTCCTCTTACTTTCTACCTTGAAGGGCCCCAGACATAAGCTTTGATTCTCGGAACCACTATACATCTCCATGGTATGTGCAGTCAGGCGGGGGGCGGTCAGAATAGAAAAACACGCTGTGCTTCAGTTAATTATTCCAGGCTGTATATAGGTGCGTTGCATGGCTTCCACCGTGCCGCCGCCATATACTCAGTGTATTTACTACATCTGCTCATTTATCCTATGATTGTGATTATTGAAACAGTTTTAACGTATAACATATCTAGATGGTTTTCTCCGCGATGATGTTGCGATAATGGTAGAGGCAGTGGGCGGTGGAGGAGAGTATTGGGTACATGGTAACCGTGGCAGAGTGCACTCAGCTGGTTATGGTGCGAGTTAGGTTAGTGTTGTGTCAGGTGGAGGTGGTTATACACTCGCTCTCTTTGTAACTGATTCCTGTGTCTGTTGCACCGTGCGGCAGCCTGTAGGTTGGGATAAAACAGCATCCACGATGACAGGTAGGTAGAGATGCCTGTCAACACTAAAGTCACTTGTGTCGGGGGCGTCTGCTTAGAGACGAGAACTCACTTGAGTGATTGGTATTTTCTTTATAATTCTTAGTCTTCCATCTCTCATGTTCGTACTCATATACAACTTCTAGTAAGTTTATTAGGTACAGGTATACATACAGTTACACAGATTATCATACATAGTAACGTGTTTAAATTACCTAGGATAACCCCAAAAAATCAGCTACTTATTTCCACTAGGGTCTAAGTATGATTGTCGTCTTTGTTTAAATATATTTATATGTTTCGTTAATATTTGTATCGGTATTTAAGGTTCCTCACTAAAGAAAATATTAAAAATTTAAAAATCATCCCTAAAAAATGATTTAAGAATTGTTTCTTTGCGGTTTTGTTTTTAAAACAACTGTTTAAGTAAGTGCAATCACGTGCAGAATGAAGAATAATAAAATACATGTCAAGTCTGGAACAATTTACAACTTGGAGAGGAAATTTTAGAACACGTGTGCCTTAACTTGACCTCGGCTTTCTCCTTACCTCCTGACCTGCCTTTCTTCACTAGTCGCCGGACATTTCTTGACTCGCCATATTGCTCTAACTCGCAATCATAAATGATCCAGGACGGACCGAAACGTCTTCTAAAAGTTTCCTCTCCAAATTGAGGGTTAGTTGGGAACTGAAGGAAATCTGACGCTGCTGATGGAACACGCTACCTGTTGCTGTTGCAGGCCTACTGGCCCATGCGAGGCAGGTCCAAGTCTCCTACCGGCTTAAGCCAATGCCCCAACCTAGTCAGATCATGTCACGTTCACTTAAGGAAGGAACACGGCAACTGACCTAGTAGCACAAGCTAATCAGGTCCAACTCACACCCACCCACACCCACTCGTGTATTTATCTAACCTATTTTTAAAACTACACAACGTTTTAGCCTCTATAACTGTACTCGGGAGTTTGTTACACTCATCCACAAATCTATTACCAAACTAGTGCTTTCCTATATCCTTCCTGAATCTGAATTTTTCCAACTTAAAACCATTGCTGCGAGTCCTGTCTAGGCTAGATATTTTCAGCACGCTATTTATATCCCCTTTATTTATTCCTGTCTTCCATTTATACACCTCAATCATATCCCCCCTGATTCTACGCCTTTTTAGAAAGTGCAGATTCAGGGCCCTCAGTCTGTCCTCATAGGGAAGATTTCTGATACATGGGATCAACTTTGTCATTCTCCTTTGTACGTTTTCCAGAGCATTTATATTCATTCTATAATACGGTGACCAAAGCTGTGCAGCACAATCTAAATGAGGCCTTAACAAGGATATATATAGAGTTGATGATATGCTGTTTTAACAGCATAGCTTTTTGTTTCAGTTATGTAAGAATTGTGTGCGGGTATTGTTGAGGACTGCTGGGAGGTCTCGAGTATGAAATGGTTATAATCATAATTTTTAAAGGAGTGGACCGGTAAGCCAGGGAAAGGCCTCGGTCAGATGTGCAAAAGCTACAGCGGCGGGTCATCATAGTCTGGGAGGTCTCGATGTTGTTACGCAACTTAAATAAGTTTGATCTTTGAAAATGTTTACAAATAGTTTGTAAAGCGTCAATAGACTAATATTCGTTAATTTATGATTCTTAAAGTAACGTGAGGTATTTAAATTGACATCGATTGGGTCTTCAATCCTTGCTTAACTACACCACACGATTCACGATGCTGTATAATGAACGGACTTGACGATTCCATAAACTTTACGAGGAACCCTTGTGTGTTTAGCTCTTTGCATTGATTTTAATAATTGAAGCCAGTGAGGAAAGCTTTCCCAAGTTATCACACGGAAACCAAAATCTGGATTAGTTTATATAATATTTATCAGAACACCTGCCAGTGCCTGCATATTGTGCTTTATTTGCATAATAACTTAAGACCTCAAAAACCTGGTGAGCTTTAAACAGCAAAACTACTGCTGCTTTTTCCAGACCCTGACTGCTTGAGGCTCGTGAACTTTTAGAGGCCAGCATTATCATTACATTCATGGGGGAGCACTAAACCAGTATGAGTGTATGCGCTTGGGGGGGAAGGGGAGAATAGGTCCACTTGGATCAAGAGCCCCTTGCCGAGATTCAGGAATCTCCCTTGAGGGATGCAGGTCAGTAAATCATTTACCGAAGGTTTTATGAAGGTTCATTTATTTGTAGTCAGGTTGTTAGTACACTCCTTAGATACTGGGTATGGGTGACATTAGTTGGTTACTAGTAAGGGGGCTAAGGGAAGAAGCATGTGCTAGTTATTAGAGACTAGGAAACCCACAAAAGTGAGTAGTTGGTGGGCAGTGGAGGTGGGAGAATGGAAGTATTTCGTAATTAATGGAGGGTGGGGAGTAAAGAAAGTGTGTATTTTTCGAGTTATTACGTTAGTATTAGACCAGGTGTGTGTGTGTTTAACGGCAGTGACAGCTAGCAATGTCAGAGGGGGAGGGAGGAGAGTAACACCTGGAGCCTCATAGTGATGATACTTTACATTAGAGATGTCTCACAGTCAATCCTGTGTATTTGGATCAACTCCAGATTGGAAGAGTCATTGTCAAGAGTGAGGGTGGCCAGCGATGTGTGTGTGGGAGTGTATAAAGTGAGAGGTCATGGCAGGATGTGCAGCCACGCCATTACCTACACCACTGACTAGCACTCGACATTTAATCGCGAGTCTACCTGGAGGGTCAACTCCCGGACCATGACCAGACTTCCTGGTGGATAGGGGCTTGATCAACCAGGCTGTTACTGCTGGCCTCACACATGAACGAACCGCAACTTGGTGGACTTGTGTGCCTGTGCAGTTCTCTCTTGAAGGCAGCTCAGAGAATTTATGTACAGTATTACATTCCATGATCATGGTGTTTACAGAGGAAAGATACAGTCTGGGAGATTAATAGTAATGGAGTGGG